GGCAATGTATTGTTATGCAGCTGCCACGTCCCACCCCAGAGGTGGCTGCATGTCAGTGCTGGGTGAACCAGGCCTGTGTGGGGTTGCTGTGTGCTGTTACACAGCTGCCGCGTCCCACCCCAGAGGTGGCTGCATGTCAGTGCTGGGTGAGCCAGGCCTGTGTGGGGTTGCTGTGCGCTGTTATACAGCTGCTACATCCCACCCCTGGAGGGACCTTCCCTAGGGGCTGAGAGCAGTCTGGGCTCCGCGTCCCATTTGCTGAACTGGACTGAGACCTGTCAAACTCACTACAGGCAGGTCCACCCAATTCCGTCGTTCCGTGACCGCCAGTGAGTGCAACAGAGACCCCAGGTGGGCTCTCTCCCCAGGGACATCAATGGGAGCCCTCTGTCCAAACAGCTCCAAATGGCACCGCCTCGCACCCGTCCCCTTTGGAATTAAAGGCTCTTCGGTACAAATGGTGCTGGGAGGCAGCCCAGCCTAGAGCCCTGAGCAAAAACCTGGGAGCCAGGACACCTGGGTTCTATTCCTGGCTCGGGGAGGGGAGTCCAGTGGTTAGAGCAGAGAGCTGGGAGTCAGGACTCTTGGGTCCTATCCTGTCTCCAGGAGGGGAGTGGTGTCTAGTGGTTAGAGCAGTGGGGGCTGGGAGTCAGGACTCCTGGGTTCTATTCCCAGCTCACTCACAGTGACGCTGGGCAAGCCCCTTGACCTCTCTGTGCCTCAGTTTCCCCCATCAGATAAATGGACATCCCGATCCCTTCCTCACCACAGGCTTAACAAGCGAGAGCGGGATCCTTGTGGTTATTTGCAGAGCCATGAGGGCCGACGGCACTTTACCCCGGCCAGCTGTCAGCAGAGAGCCCAACCCAAGGGCTAGCCCTGACTAGTAGGGTGTCATTAGCCAGCCCCAGTCCTGGCAGGGCTCCCGGGCACCCCAGACATCAAGGAGGGAGTGTCCCCCGAAACCTGTTCCACTCAGAGGCCTGGTATGATGCTCCGGCAGTCAACCACTCCTCCCTGCCGCTCCCCCGCAGGGCACTTAGCCAGGGCTCCAAGGCCTTCAGACTAATTACTTCTGATTTGCTCCTTCCTAGGGACAGCAGCTGAAGGGGGAAGATCCTGGAGTGGCTGTAACCTCTAATGAGTGTGTGTTGTAGGAGCCCTGGCCAGGGGATTGAACCAGAGATCGCCAGAGCCAGGAGCATGCGCTGCTCCTTAGCCGGGGGTCCAGCAGCCGGGGACCCGGCCCAGGACCTGCAATGCACAAATCAGGGGGCCCAGGTGTGGTGTCGTAAAGGGCTCAGATGTGGAGGGGTCTGGAATTGCCCAGGTTTCGAGGTCATCTGCATCCCTCTCTGAGCAGAGCATCCTTCCCCTGCACCGCCCAGCAAACCCACTGGGGGGCGCCCTCCGGGTGCAAGGAGGAGAACGGTCCCTGGAACAACGCAGGGCTGAGCAGAGAGAGGAGAAGGAGTTTGCCAGCCGGACACCCGCCCCGCCCCGCCCCGATGGGCAGCTCAGCCGTCTACACCTTGTCTTCGAGGGCATCTCGGCTCTCTGTCTCCCCCATTCTGATAGGTGGCAGCGGACGGTACTGCACTTCCTGGGTAGTGCTGAACAGCTATAAACCCTCCTGCTCCCATTCACACCTAGATCCGCTCTGGATTTAGGGGTGAGAGTCAGCTCTGGGAGGGCAGTGGGGTCTAGTGGTTAGAGTGGAGGTGTGGGAGGTGGGAGTCAGGACTCCTGGGTTCTATCCCCAGCTCTGGGAGGGCAGTGGGGTCTAGTGGTTAGAGTGGGGGGTGGGGGCTGGGAGTCAGGACTCCTGGGTTCTATCCCCCATGCTGGGAGGGGAGTGGGGTCTAGTGGTTACTAGTGCTGGGGCACCAGGACTCCTGGGTTCTAGACCACAAGCGGGCCAATGTGTGGGGACAATGGAATATTCTGCTTGCCAGTAAACCCCCCCCCCCATGCTGCTACGGGCCCGTCCCCCTCTAGTCATGAGCTCAGGTTCCATGGTCCGTCTGGCACTTTGGCCTCTCTGCCTGGTTAACTCCTACTTGCTGTTCCGTCGCCACTGGGACCTGGCCTGAGACCCGACCAGCCCATTTCACCCACCGAGGGGCCGGGCGGTTCGTTCTGGCCCTGGGCTGCATTTGAACTGGTGGCTTTGAGGTCAAAGCCCTGGTGGGAGCTTCGGGAGAGATCGGTCCCTATCCCCCGAAGGCCGCGCAGCCGTCTCTGTCCCTCTACTGCTCCCTCGCCCCCCTAGTCCCCAGCTCACAGGCGCCCACGATAGTCGGTCCCACCCTTCCTCCACTTACCGCTGCTGCAGCTGCCGCTGACTCTCCCGGGGGTGCGTGGGGTGGGCTGGGTGAGGCTTGCAGACCCCTGGCGGGGTCCCCTCCCCCGTCCAGCCAGGGAGCACTGCTAGGCAGGACTGCCGGTGCTCCACCGTCTGGCTCACCAAGTCAACGGCAAGGCATCATCAAATCTCTCCCTCCGCCTCACGCTGGCACTGAACTCCCTGCCTTCCCCGGCGCGGCTTTGGGGGGGCGGCTTGGGAGAGCAGGTTAGGCCGGTTTGGGCTCAGGCGAAAGGTACAGGCAGGGAGCGTTGGGCAAGGGAGGTGGATTTCCCGGAGGTAGCTGGAGCGGTTCCGGGTCTGGACGCCCTTGAGAGAGCTCTCCCGCGCCCCCCTGTCCCGGCCCCTGTCCGCGTTGCTGGGTATGATCTGGAGACACTATCAGCTGTCTGGCTGAATTATTTACCAGCATTCCTGGGCTGCCTTGTTCAGCCACCTGTCTGCTCTCTCTCCCACATGCATGTCCGGCGGGATTGCAGATCCCCGGCCCGGCTGGAAGGAGGCGCTGGGCTCTCCAGCTCCAGCCAACCTGCTGGGGGACCCTGCTATCACCCCTGCAACCAGGAGCAGCTGGAACAAGGGGACGGCTTGGCAGCCCTGTTGCTCGAGGGCCCTGCGGCAGGCGCCACAGCCGGGCACCACTGCATCGGTGGGTGTTATGCCCGCTGTGTGCATGGTGCGGGATGATGGGAAAGGAGCCCGGAGTGGGTGAAGCACAGGGCGCAATAAAGGAAGCTACACATAGACACATGCTGGTCCCCGGTGGTGCTAAGCCAGGCAGTGAGGTGGCGGCACCGCATGTGCAGAGACGCCGTCTCTTGAACGGGGCTTGGGCGGGTCGAGTCCGTGAAGCTGTAACAAATAAACACTGAGGGCTTTCAATGCTCGGCAAAGGGGAGCCGGCTGGCCGTGCCGTCGCACCGCGGGGATCGTGGCGGATGTTTGCAGGCCATGATTTCCGCAGCTGCTCTGTGGCGGAGCGTCATCAGCCGGTGGAGAATGCCCCTGCAGGCGTGGGGGTCGTGCCGCCAGGATCTGCCTTCTCCAGCCCTCCAGGCGGGGGTCCTGCATGCACCATAGCTCAGAGATCCTGCCACATGCACCCCAGTGCAGCCCCCCACACTTGGGCTCCCCCCCCAGACTCCATCGCATAGCCCAGCTAGGCCAGCCCCCTCCATCCCCCCGCATCCCACACCTTTGGGGTGCATGGTGCCACTGGCTTCGCTGGCTGCCTCTGCTGGACAGTGTGGAAGGCATCCCCCGGCCGCAGCTCCGGTCCCCAGCATCATGGGGGCCAGGTGGCATAAGGGACATTTCCCCGAGTTTGGGTCAGGTGATTTTGCATTGACCCTAAGAACGTCTGTGCTGGGTCAGACCAACGGGCCCCTCACGGGGCGGCCTGGCCCTTTAACGGGAAATGGGGCTCGTCAACTGGAAAATGAAGGTGGGATTCAGGCAGGCCACTAGGATCAGCAGGGGAGAAGCTGGGGAAAGGAACCTCAGCAAAGGGCTGGGAGGGAAAACTGCTGAGAACCCCAAGGCCCTTGCGGCAGACCCAAGGGGATGGCGGGGGCTGCAGAAGGGGGGGGGTCCTGTTGAGCTGTCTGAGGCAGAGAGGAGACAACCAGGGAGAGCCTGAGATCGGGAGCGGGGTGGGGGGAAGGAGCGACGGCTGGACGAAGCCCCCAGGCCTAGACAGAAGACGCGTGAGCTGAGTATGGGGTTTGTGGGGTGGCGGAGGAGGGTGGTTTCGAATAGCTCGTGTTAACGACCCCTCCCCGCACTGGAGCGTTAGCCATGGGAGAAAGCCCTGGTGGGAATCTCGGAGGGAAGCTGTGGGGCGCCTCCCCTGGCTACGAGAGGGTAGTGACCCTGTTACAGGGCCCATCTAGCCTGGGACCCCCCCCCCCGCCCCCTCAGATCACACCACTGGAAAATACAGGGGCAGGAAAGACATTTTTCTGCTGCCCAGGAAGGCTGAGCTGCTGATGGCACCGTGTCCAAAACACTGAATCAGGAACGCGTCTTGCAGGTCAGCTGCCGTGTGGGGCTGGGAGGGGGGAGGAGGGAATCCTGTAGCATCACAGCTGCCCCCTCCCAGGTGTGGGTGCTGGGCACCCCCTGAGCATCCCAGCTCCTCTCCCAAACATGGGGTTTGGGGAGGGGGATCCATTTGGCTTCACGGCCCCCTTCCCACACACTGAGTACTAGCCGCCAGCCAGTCAATTTCAGGGGGCGCTGGATGGGTCTCTCAGAGCGATGCTTAAAGGTACAGAGAGGCACCTGTGTACATGTGCACACACACACTCACTCACACACACACACACACACACACACACTCACTCACTCACACACACACAGACGTCTCTCACAACGTATGCCAGACCTCATCCAGGGCACTAACTGCCCCAGTAACAACTCTTTGGGGGTGGGGGGGGAGACGGGAAATCGCTGTGCTCTTTAGCGAACTCGCACGGAAAAGCGACACCCTCTCACCCGTGGGTGGACACTTTTCGCAGAGCCATCACTCCACTCAGTCCTCGTCCTGCCAGGAAACCTGCCCAACTCCTGCAAAAGACGCGCCTGGGAGCTTAAATTCAGAACTTTGCTAGACACTAAAAATCAGGGACTGAGCAGAGACCCTGGATTTATGGCTTATTACAACAATCTGTAACCCACTAAACCAGCGGCTCTCAACCTTTCCAGACGACTGCACCCCTTGCAGGAGGCCGATTGGTCTTGCGCACCCCGAGTTACACCTCACTTAAAAACTACTTGCTGACAAAACCAGACATAAAAATACCAGAGTGTCGCAGCCCACGATTACTGAACAGTCGCTACTGTCTCATTCTTACCATGTAATTATAAAATAAACCCACTGGACTATAAATATTGTACTTACATTTCAGTGTATAGTCTATAGAGCAGTAGAAACAAGTCATTGTCTGGAATTGTAGTGTGTCCTGACCTGGTTAGTGCTTTTTATGTCGCCTGTTGTAAAACTAGGCAAATCTCTAGGTGAGTTGATGTGCCCCCTGGCAGACCTGAGGGTACCCCTGGTTGAGAACCACGGCTCTAAACCCCAGAAGCTGGGCCTGGGCGACAGGGGATGGATCACACGATAATTGCCCTGTTCTGTTCATTCCCTCTGGGGCACCTGGCATTGGCCACTGTCGGAAGACGGGACACTGGGCTAGATGGACCGTTGGTCTGGCCCAGTTTGGCCGTTCTTATCTTCACTAAACCCCCCGGCTCCTTTTTCCCCCTAGGCCTGGAGAGGTGATAGTGGCCACCTCACCTTGAATGATCCCTTGGAATGTGTGTGACCCATGTTCCGCTTGCACTTAGCCGTGATGCTTTCCCCAGAGCTTGGCGAAGGCTTGTGTCTCTCTCCCCGAAGATATTTCTCTCACCCACCTTGTGTGTCTGTAATACCCTGGACCAACTCCTTCCACACTTACCCACACTTTCACCCTGCTGCCACTAGGTGGTGCCCAATTAGACTTTTAATCCCCACCTTCAGAAAAACCTCCGAGCGTGTTTTCATCCAGCAAAGCGGACGCTGGACGCCTGGGTCCTTTTCTGCCCATCTGCACTGGGGAGCGGTGAGGCCTGAGCGCACAGGGGCCATGACCCTAATGAACGTGGCACTGGACTCAGCTTCCCTCTAAGACAAGGAAGCTTTTGTCCAGGTCCAAGATCAGCCCCGGAGCCCAATTCCCTGACGCTTGTGACAATGCTACCCCCCTGCACCTCTTTCCTTGGCAGGGCAGGAAGCCAGTGCAAAGCCGCTCAAAGGAAATGCTCCTTCATGCCATCTGCAAGGAGCCTGCGGAACTCCCTCCCACTGGACGGTGTGGGGCCCGGGAACCCAGTGAGAATCTAGCAGGGGGTGGAAGTTTATACTGCTAAGGAGAAGGCCCAGAGGTAGAACAGTTTGTGCTAGCAAAGAGATTTGAAAGAGTTAAAAATACCAGGTGCTTTGGGGGTTTAAGGCAGGGGTGTGAGGAGGAGACCTTGATGGGGGCAGATTGTCCCATTCCTGCCTGCTGGGGGGGACACACCTATCTCTGAAGAACCTGGCTTTGGCCACTGTTGGAGAGGGGCTGCTAAGCCGGGGAGGATGCTAAGCTTGGCTCTGTGTGTGAACATTCCCGTGTGCCCAGAGATTGAGCCATTCAGAACTGAAAGCTCAGAGTCCCCTAAAGCCCCCCTGGATGCTTTCACCTACAGTGCCTGGGTTCTGTTCCCAGCTCCGGGAGGGGGCTGGGGGCTGTTTGTTAGAGACAGGGGAGGCCTAGGAGCTAGGACGCCTGGGTTCTATTCCCCGCTCTGACTCTCACATGCTCCAGCTGACCTTGGGCTGCCCCCCACCTTTCCCTGTGGTTGCTCCCCTTCCCCATGGTGATTGCGATCTCTCGTGGCTGGCATGGGCAGGTTGGCATGTCCCATGCCCCCCGCGGCCCTGCGTGCCGATCCTGTTTGCTCCAGCCCCGGCAATTGCGACACTCGCGAAATGAGAGGCGACCGTGCAGATCCCAAACCCTGGGGCGGTGCCGCTGACTGTGCCAGGCTCTGCCTGTCCCTCCCACCCTCGGCTCAGCAGCTGGAGCCGGTCCCTGCCAGGCAGCCAAGAGGGGTTGTGCAAAGCCTTTGAGCCTGATCTGAATTAGCCAAGTCCTTGAGTGTCCTCTAATCCTGTGTAAACAGCTGGGGGAGGGGGGTACTTAGCGCCGATGACCCCCCCACCGCTCCACCCTGGCCTGGCTGCTGTGCCAGGCTAGACTCCAGCTCCAATCCCTCCCCCCAAACCTGGATCACATGCCCGGCTGGGTACACACCTGCCCAAAGTCAGCGGCAAGGTGACTGCCTGCTGGGGCCAGGAGATACCTTTCCCGGGTCCGGGAGGTGGGAGGGCAGCTGGGGAAACAGGGGTGTTAAAAGGGAGGGCAGAATCTGCGGGTGGGGGGAGATGCATCGACAATCTGCCCCCCAAGGCTACCGTAGATCCACGACTCACCCCTGCAAGGGATTGTGGGAGCAGGCTCTCCCCCCGCATTCCAAACTTGAGGGGCTCTTATGTCTTAGAGGGCTCACAGTTTGCCTGGATGTGGGTCATGGCTCCCAGTATTCCAAAGGGAGCACCCCATATTCCCGGGGGACCCCAAAGTTAATTACTCCTCTTTTATGCTCTCCCCCTTTGGTGAGATCCCTGACGAACTTCCCCTATGCCCCCCACCATTTCCATTCCCAGCAGCGACCTTCCCACTTTTCTCTTAGGGGGCAATGGGGGATTCCATCAACCTAGGTGCGTTTGGGCTCTCTACCTCCCCGGCTGGCTGAGAT